TTTTTTACATGCCTATATGTATGAGGTAAAAATGTAGCTAACCTTGCATGCTTTAATCAGTTTATTTCTTGTGTTTGGAGTTCTTTGTTTTCCCCACATGAGTAATCTTTGCTCAAAATATGGATGTATTTATTTTATATGTTATATATAGATTTTTCCTCCTAACGTATTCATTCTCCTGCTCCTTTGCAACCATCCCTTCGGTGATCTTGGTGCTTATAAAGCCAATAACCATTTTATGGGGCAAGTAGAAAACATTGCCTTTGTTCAAACTACCATTGTTGTCACACTCCTGCACCTGGATAGAGAGATTGAGTTTTTCAGCTGCACTGTGTCAGCAAGGACAAAGCCGACTCACTCTTCTCTTTATTTCTGAAAGTAGTTTTCCCTCCAGCCTCCTGAATTGATGTTAGCTAGCACATACATCAGCTTGTTTGTGAGGGAATGAAGAGAAACAGCTAGAGAGGGAATGGAATGGCATTGTGGCATTTTTATTAGCTGCAGAAAAACATGCAATGAAAATAGTTAAAGGTGGAAGAGCCATTTTAAGGTGGGCTTTGGGAGATTTTAATTAAAGTGGAAATATCACATATATGAGACTTCAGAACCTGTCTCGAAAAAAGAAAGGATTACTGAACACTGTACCCTATATTTTACCCAATGACTGTTTGAGATAGGAAACAACCCATCTCATGACCTTTAATGGACAAGCAGGTATACATTTTGAATGGATAGATAGTAAGATAAAAAGAATATTTCTTGGTCATACTGCAAATTCCAGCTTGGGCATCTATGTATGTAAAAAGAATTTGCAATATAGTGCACAGGCTTTCAAAAGATTACATGCTCTTTGTTGCTGATAAGAGTCCAAGAGCAGTTGGACTGAGTGCCACCTGGGCTATTCCATTTGTAAACTTGTTGGCCGGGTTGTGTTGATTCAAGTTCTGTTTATCCTTCCTTCTGAAATGTCCTTGCTATTGTTATTAAAGTTTGAATTTCTGAAAGAACATAAGTTATGACAAGATTTGGCTACCGGGTCTAAACCCTCTCAGAGCTAAATAAGAGTTTCTACAAAGGGGGCATCCTGCTCATATAAATGCCATTTCCTCAAAACTCTGGCTCTATACTAAGATAATTAAGACCCAAGTTGATGATCATCAAGAAATGATGAAACCACACATTACACTAGATCAGACAATTTCTTTCTTCCATCCATCCGTTCGTCCGTCTGTCCGTCCGTCCGTCCATCCATCCATCCATCCATTTTCTGTCATGCTTATCCAAAGCTGGGTTGCGAGCGGTGCGGGTGACTATCTCCACCTCTCTACGGGCGAGAGGCGGGGTACACCCTGGACAGGTCGGCAGTCCAAGGACACAATTTCTTTCATTTACTGTATCAATAAATCATATGTTCTTGTATTGTGTTTTTCTTTTTCTAAATTTCTTGATAGTGGAAAAACAAAGGCAATCTGTTTGCTTCATGCTAGTTCCAAAAATTGCAAAAAAAAAAAAAAAAAACAATACCTCAAAGACTAATGGATGATTTAAACCCTAAAACAGCATGTTAACTGAATGAGATACAGTATACAGTACTTCCAAAAGCATTGATTTAAGAAGAAACCAGCAGTCAGAGGCACAAATTAATAGACTGGTTGTGCATTTCTTAACAGAGACACATGATTTGACGTTTACTGATGGGGCTAGTTTAAATGCATTACCTCACAGCAACAGCTGGCTTATTTGCTTTCATGTATATTTCTTTTTGTGTTTAGTCAATTTGCTCAGGCTGTAGATGAATTCCCATCAAGTACATGGGCAAAATCATTGGGATCTTAATGCATGATTGCACTGCCAGAAGACTTTGGTTAGTCAGGTTTAATAATTAAATAAACCTCTCTTTTTATACCAATAATAGTTTAGTTCTGGAATAGTTTGCAGCTACACAAAGCAGAAGTAGGATCCCAAGAAAACTGATAGGGTTTTTCCCTTTTTTTCTCCCATGTGCCTCAAGCTCGCAAAAAGTGTAAACAAATTATTTCAGAATAAGAAGTAAAAAAACTTGAGTTTAGACAGGTGGTCATGGGTCAGTTCTGAGCACTTCTAGACAGTTTACATCATGCCGCTATGCTTTAGGCTTTAAAGTCCTTTCAATGATATGAGGTTTTGTGCAGAGTTTTTCTTCTTCTTAGTCATATATTTAAATTAATCTGTTATAAAGATAAGGGCTTGAAAAATTGCGGCTTGGGTCCCTGGGGCCCATGGCTGGATTCCCTTCGGTGTGGCTGGCTGCCAGTGGAGCCCATGGACTCGTCCCCGCGGCTCCGGGGGCTCCGGCGTTGCAGTGGCTGGGGGACTTCCGCGGGACCATCTCTCCTCCTCCCTTGGTGGGGGGTCGGATTTCCTGGGTTGGCCCCTCCTGGACGCCTTTGCTCTTGGGGTCCCCTTGGGCGTATGGGGCTTCGGGTCCACTAACGCTTGCCTCGGTGCTCTGGGGGGTGCTTCTACAGCTCTTCACAACCACTATTGAGCAATTTTTCTTTGAATAAACTTTACACGCACAAGTGCACTTTCACAAACAACTACAGGTGCTTGGTTCCAGGTACTTAGAGATTCACTTCCATACAGAAAACCCACATTCTTATCTTCAGCTACCACAGTATGCATGTCAGATTATATAATACTACTTATACTTCAGCGATATACAACAAGGTGTTACTTTGTTGTATATCTTGTACTATGTCACTTGGTTGTGCTGTTCTTTTTACATCTTTTTGCAGGTAATTAAGCAGACTGAAGATGTGCTATCGTTATCTCCCTTTTATCTTTTCTTTCTTTATGTTTTTCCTTTCCTGATTTATTTAAATTGCAGAGTCCATATAATCTGTGATCTGTAATACTTCCTGCATGAATTGTAATAAATAATATGCATAAATCAAGCAGAATTCTATGGCTCCACTTGTAAAAGTAAAATCTGTTGGTCTCTTTTTTGCATCAAGACAACTATCGTTATTGCCACATTGCTGAAATATTTTTAATAGTTACTGGTCTATGCCTAGTCATTGCTGTGTCTTACACAAACCTACACCTAACAACACCCTAAAACCTGTGAAGTCAGTTTATAACTTTCAGTGTCTAAGGTTTTATTTAATCAATATTAGGAAAAGTGAAGGGGGATGTCAATACATGTTTCTGCTGAGTCTGTAAAACTCTAATAGAGTAGGCCACATTTTCTTGGCACATATATAAACATTTATGATCTTTAGCAAAACCACTGGCTATTATGCTCTGTGCCATAAACATAGCACCTAACAGTGCTATGATGTGTCATTAAGAAGGGGACACTGTATTAGAAGGTTGGGAACATCTTTCAAAATACTGTTAAAAGTATATTCAGGTGAGAAAACCTTTTCTAAGGAAGTCTTTAAAAACAGAAGAATGTTGAAATATAAAAAGAGCATATATTTCCTTGTAAATTATTTATTATTCCTCTAAATTACAAAAGGTCATCATGGAATCTACATCAAGCTCTTGCAACTGTTGATGTGAAAGCAGCTTAAAAATAGACTTCTTTAAGTAAAGCATACATTTACTTATATACACAAATAGAAATATTATTGCAAAGAGGACAGCTTTTCTCTCTATAAAAAGCATGAAGACCAGATGGAACTACATGCTCATCCAGGAAGAGCTAAATCAAAGCAATCAGATGGGCTTACTTATGTAGAAAAGTTTCAATCAGTCTGCCTGTATGCTTTCATTGAATTTTCTCTTTAAAGTGCTTTGAGATGACTTACTGTGAATTGGTGGTATATAATTAAAGGGAATTCCATTGTATCTTAGGCTGGGATAAAGAAGAAAAACTATTGGAATGTCTGGAATAATGTTATGAGAATGAGTCTAAATGGAACAAAAGACGGAGGACAGGCTTATAATGAACCAACTTAAAGATTCTGAAAAACAAAACTCTCCAAGCAAATGTGAGGCTTGCAGCAGAGAAATGTGAGTTACTCTGCTGAAGCAGGACATGGAAATGTGAGTCTTTTCCAGGAATATGAAAGCAGACACAGAGCTGGACCCATTAAACTGACAATGACATAAAACATACCAACAAATCCACAAGAACTTGCTATAAACAAAGAAATAAGTCCTGGAGTGAATCAGATGCCAAATATTGGTTTCACTGAAAGATGAAAGGTGACTTGAAATTGACTGGACATACTTCAATCATTCCTTAAGATTTCATATCATAAGGCAAAACTTAGATTTGGGCCACATAATGGTAGATGTCTCTAAACGGCCTCTGGGGAATCTTCTTTCAACCAAAAAAAGGCACAACTAGGAATAATTGGGTAGGGTGTCTTAAGTAATCCTCAGATCGCGTATCTGCAGATATTCTTTTTAAAAACTAAGATACTTTTTTTTAAGGTATATAAGTCAGTTTTTTCAGAGATAAATAAATAAGATCAGACAACAAGATCTGAATATCTAAAAAGGATTTTTTTTCAATGAAATGAGAATAGCACATTCATTTTAACTCACATAATCTTGCTATCAATCCTATGAATATAAAAAACACCTGCAAAAACCTGACAAAAGCCATACTGATAGGAGCTGCATTGACTCCTTATCAATGATTTCTTCAGGACAGATGACTATAACTGTTTTATCAAACATGTTGTGGATCTGACCATTTAAGCACTGGCAGAAATGTAAAAACTAGGCAAAAAAAACTCCCCTCCCCAGAAGTTGGACTGGAGCATCTCTGGTAACATTTGTATTAATGGTACAATAAAAACACAGCTATGGCGAAAGGCTTGCAGAAAAGACAAACAACTGTGCTGAGGCCAGGTGTTAAGTTGATAAGCCCTTGTAACTCCCACAGTGAACTCTCAGTCTCACACACTGCCTCTATTGAGTACAGTGCTCCTCAAGGGAGAAGAAAAATACTAAGCCTGTGGGTTTGTGTTTGAGTGTGGAATAGCGTGGGTGGATGGCAGGAAACAATTCATGAAGGATGGCAAAGAAGTAGAGAGTTAGAGATGCTTTTGTATCTCACCAGGTGAGATCGAAGGTCTGCATTTTTGATGCAAAGCTTGGACTGAGCATCTTAGCACGCCGATGAGCGCTGGAAATGGTCACCATGACAACACGGCACAGCACAACTGCATTGACCTGCAGGCAGAACACAACAGGAACAATGACGTGTCACTGCAGAGCCACTTGGCCTTAAGCTGACAGGAGCATTCAACTGTGTGGAAATGCATCCTGCAAACCAAAACACTAAAGCAATCTTCATGAATCAGAAAATACTACTGTAATGCTTTATGTTATTTTGGATGCAAGGGTATATATGTCTTGTAATTCTGTGGGAAAAGTACATGCTTTAACTGTTTCTTATGAACTTCTTTTTAATCTTACTGTTGTCTGCTGGTGAAATAAGATAAGAATTAGACACAAATTCTCATGTTCATTCATATGTTCTTCATAAAAATAATTTTGGAAATATGTGGCTTTGACGTTACATACTGTGTATATTCCATATTTCATATGATTAACGTATTCTTGCAGTTGACTGTTAAACACAATAGATATACATACCGTCAAGACAAATATGACAGGTCCCACAAAGGCCCAGATAGTGTCAGTTTTTACACTTAGCCAGCAGTGGTCATGTGCCTTGTATTTTTCCCCTGATATCACCAATGTTAGTCCAACTATGAGAACAGGTAGTCCTGAAAAACAAGTCATTGACGTAAAATCAACATCAGTTGTGGTGAAGCCACAAAGCCTTTTTGTTTAAAACCTAAATTTGCAACTATTACAGCCACAGTTCAGCTGGGTTCAGCTGCATATTTTGTCTCTTCTGTTCTTTGTTCCTGTTTAGTCTGTGGGGTAAAGACTACAGTAACACCTCAAGACTGTTTGTGCTACTGACTCACATCGTGTTCTCAGCTTAGTATACGACATAATACACACTAATGAATATGAGAACAGCTGCCATAAATAAAAACTGGGTTAAGGCTGTTGTCTTACAAAACATCATGTAATTTGTAACATGCAGATGAGATTTAGAATATAGAGTAACTTAGGCTGCAATTTAAAATTCAATTCCATTCAATTCAGTTTATCTATTTAGTATCAAAGGACATGTCATCTAGAGGCACTTTATAGTGATGCTTCAATCAGATCATGTAGTAAAAGTGATTAAAAGTTTTCTATCAAAGGAAATCCAGTTAATTGCATTGGGTCATTGACTTTGCAGGATAAGTTCCTCCTTGATCAACATGCAGCAACAATACTATTTTGCTTGGACTGTAATGTTGACCTTAAACAGAGCAGATTATGACATTACGCTTTTAAACGACCATAACAAAAACATGGCAAAACAAACAAGAACCTAACTGCGTGGGAAGAGAGAGCAAGGCTCAAAACAAGAATTTAGCCATGCAACCTAGAGGCTGCTCTGAGGAGCCAGAAAATTTATCTTGAGAATGCACAAAGACACAGACAGGTGTGATGGCTGTGTCCCATCAAGGAGGCATCCTGGGCCCCTGTGTTCAGGTAATGGTAATGGTGTCCAGGTGGCTAGAGATTAGACCTACCCAACTGGCACATTTGATTGGTGAACTGGGACATGGTTGAGGGACTCACATTGCTGGTGCAATGGCATGTGGTGATGGTTTGCACCTGACCCGTGGACCAATGCTTGCCGTGGCTTCCCTGTTTGCTTCCACGAGAGAAACTGGAAATATGATAGCATGGATAAGCTAACAGTAGTAAACAAGATGGTGGCTGGCGATCCAGAGAAGGATGAAATTAACTTGAGGGGCCAGACAGAAGTTATCAGCTAAAGCATCTCGATTATCTACTTCCACCTCTTCAACAACTTCACTGCTTAGAAGAACTGGCAGCAGAGAAATCAACATTTGCAGCATTATCATGCATGTTGCTTCTACATAACCCCTAGGGTATTTAGGCCACAGTATAATGTTACTTCTTTCCACCTCACCTCCTTACCACTCTTCACTTAAGATCCAAAAACCAACCGGACACCAGGAAAAAGAGTGGCGGTGTCCTGGCAACAATGTTTATGCAATGTTAATGTCTCAGCAAATGGAGATAGGGCTCACCCTACCGTTGTACCATATACAGCAATGAAGCACACCAAAATATTGCACCAATACATGCAGTGACTACATCAGTCTATTCCCTATAGTGGCTGCAATGCAAAGACTCTGCATCAAGGTGACCATATCAATGCATTTTTTTGCACCATGTTTTTTTTGTTTTCTCCCACGTTTACGTCCGATCACTTTAAGAAATGAAAATGTCATGAGCATTGCACAAAATGAAATTCTGCTTTGTATACACTCTGTGTATAGAAAATAGAAAGTCTATAGAAAGTCTATGTTGTCTAAGTATATTGACCTAAGCGGAGAGTATGTGAGGCACCAGACTCGGGCACCAGAACTCCCAGAAGGTTGCTCCATTTAATCCAACAATTCTTGGAGGTCGTTGGTTAAGGTTCATGGAGACCCATAGAGAACCTCATCAGGAGGTAGACCATGAAGTCTAAATAACCCTGTGAAGCTTTGAAGGCTGGGACCCACAGAGAAGCTCTGCAGCCAGGAACCAACTAACAAATTCATCAGGGACAAACATAAAAAAACTCAGTATATGTGACCTTTTTACAGTTCTCCACTAAGCCAAACCATGAATTTACAGAGGCCTCTATTACACATTTTCAACATTTCAGAAAGTTAAAATAGGATACCTATAAATAGCTCAGTAGTACAATTCCTGTTTTTGCCAATTTTTCTTTTCTTTGAATAATAAGTATGGAAATTGTTCAGTAAATTAGTTGAGCCTTGAGGAAGCTGCTAGTCTGTGGCCTCCGTCTTCACCCTCGGTTGCTCTATGAACTACTGTTTTTATCTACTTAAGAACAAACAAGGCAGCAACATGTCTTATTTTTCCTCTCACTGCTACTGGGTAAAAACATTACCAGGAGATGTGTACAATCCTACTCTTGATGTGAGATTATTACCATGTCCTTCAGAGACACAGTGATACTCAACGTGAAAGGAAATTGTTCTGCATTTTATCTAAAAGTGTTTTTGCTTTATTTCTTTAAAATCTAGATTTTACCAAATTTCAAATATTGTACAAAAGACTGTCACATTCTTTTTATGTTGCTGTCAAATTGACACACAAAAAAGACGAAAGAAAGAAACTCAAGCTCATAGTTTTGCTAGTTGCGCAAACAGATATACATCTGCCTAACTTAATAGCAAAGCAAAATTAGAGCTTTTAAAATTTAGGATTTGTTCATTACATTCAGATTTGTAAAATATGGACATCTAACAAGTCCAGTCTAAATACTCATTCTCCAGCTCCCTCTTTTTTTGTATATTTAGCTTTATTTGGATTCTATTCTATTCTATTCTATTCTATTCTATTCTATTCTATTCTATTCTATTCTATTCTATTCTATTGTTTTACATCAAATTGACTTCTGCGACTTCTAAAGGTAATAGGTGCATTGAAGTCCACATATATTTTATTTGAGTGAAAAGGGCTGGATATAACTGCCCTCCAAAATGTAAATATAATAATAGAACAGTTTAAGCAGTAAAAATACTTTTACAAGGTCAACATAGGTCAAGTTTGCAGTATAAATCAAAAGGCAATGTTATAACCTTAG